ATATATATATATATATATATATATATATATATATATATAGAGAGAGAGAGAGAGAGAGAGAGGAGAGAGAGAGAGAGAGAGAAGTATATATGTTTAGTTAAAGTGTTTCTTTCTTAGCCTTTTAAGACTGAAATGTTGAGCGGAAAAATGAGAATACTTTACGAGAGCGACGAACCCAATCAATTTGACGTGGCCCAGCTCGCATACAAGGGAGGAAGGTTTGGTTTGTACATAGCCCTGCCCCAGAAGGTGGACGGTATCGCAAGTCTTGGTATGTTGACAACAACATTACACACTATATACAAGATTAAATGACATCTAACCAATGTGATGTCGATTCTGGGATCATGGTTTTTGAACATTTCAGTTATTTGCAATGTTCTATTTTGAATACTTACATATAATGCATATGCAGTAACGTGACAAGCCATGGTTGAACGCACTAGGAGTCACCACCCAAATTCGAGGCACCAAAACAAAATATTACTAATTTTAATTTAACTTGGAAATCTAGTTTTACTTGCTTATTTAATAACAGATTAGTTTTATAAAAATCACTTGGCAAAGCGTGACATGGAAATTAAGAAGATCCCACATTCCCTCTAATTTTGTACAAATGATATGTTGGTTATTAGTGGAGCGGAGTCATCCTGGGCTATACGTGTGGTTACACAGTTTGGGCTACTCAACGGGTTTTGAACGTAATTATTTTTTACTTGTGTGGATTTAAGAAAATAAAATATTCAATATGCCACTAGTTGTTTTATATTGACAAAATAAAAATATGTTGAGATATTTTGTTCTGAGATATTTGTCCTGAGATACTTTGTCCTGAAATATATTGAGATATTTTTATGGGATACTTTGTTTTGATATTATTTTTATTATGCTACTTTTAAAATATTAAATATTTTTTCATATTGTCTGTTCTGGCGAAGGCGTTCATTCTAAACACATCATTTCTATTTCATTAGTAATTAGTATTACAAATGCTGCAATATTGAAATTGATTCAGGGAATTTTAAAAAATAATTTGGTATAAGCTAAACAGGTAAAAAGTGTAATCGGGTACTACTTTGGATTCTTAAAATATTGATTTGGAACACCTAGCCAATAATTCGCTCGAATTCAATTTGTAGTCCTATAAGTTTTAAAATCAACAGATATAAAAACAAAAGGATGTGAATTCTCGAATTTCGTGTCAGTAATTTCAAACAAAAATATTTCACAGAAAAACATCTGTCTGATCCGCATAACATCAACCGCCTTTTCGCCAACCTGACCGCCATCGATGCTGAGGTGAAGATTCCGAAGTTCAAAACTGAGACAACGCTGGACTTGATAAAACCTCTCAAAGAACTTGGTATAGTCAAGGCTTTTGGTCCCGGCGCTGAATTTCCTCGCATCACCTCAGGTAACCAAAGATCTAATTCCATCGTTTAATTCTCTAAACCAAAAAATATAAAACAAATTTACTTTTAGTCTTAAGAAAACAATACGGTTTTCTGAACGTTTTTTTTTTCCTAACAATGTGTTTAGTAGAATTTTAATTAATAAATCCATTCAGTGAATTTCGAAAACAAGATTTTTACAATATAAAATTATAAAATAGATTTTAAATTTTTACCCAACTATTCAAAGCTAAAATACACAGTATACTATTGGTGTTTTAAAACACTGGGCGTCTTAGGTAAAGTGGCACATAGGCAACACATTAGGTAGGAATTTTTTCCTAGATAGAGTCTAGAAAAACAATCCTCCCCCCCTCCCCACGCTACATTATCTTTTCCCGTTAGTGCCCAAGACAGATGGTTCAGATGATGTAGAGTTTGCCTATTTTAGGGACCTAGGCATATGAAGAGAGAGTGTAGTCAGCACCTTGCCCAGCCGCCTTGAAACCGGATTCGAAGTCGAGACTTTCGGGCTCTTTCCATATATTTACATATACATATATATATATATATATATATATATATATATATATATATATATATATATATATATATATATATTTCTGTATGTGTGCTAGTGTACGTGTTTTGAAAAACGATATTTTACTCTTAAAATGACGTTCCCCCACAGACAAAGCCCACATCAGCCGAGTGAAGCACCAGGTTAGATTCGACGTCTCAGAGACAGGGACTATAGCGGAAGTCGATCTAGAATCTATCAAAGAACCAAAAAAAGACTCTACAAAACCAAAAGTCAGATTTGTCGCGGATCATCCATTCCTGTATTTCCTCAGGGATAAAGAAACCGGACTAATTCTGCTCCAGGGAACATTTTCCGGCTAGGAAGCTCGAAATAAAACTTTAGATGAACTGAGGAAGATTTTTTCATGTTTATTTATCTAAGTAAAGCACTATCAACTGAAATGTCTGTCAGTTCATACTTACATACAGTCAATGCATTGTAAATACATTTAAAAGTTCTTCAAAGGATTACTAAAGATTGCTGATTGTAATTCCCCATGTTGCTTTAAAAACGTTTACAAACTGAAAGTTTCTTTTCTCTAAGCCTCTGGTTCTGTACAGCCAATCAATGCTTGTCTTACGAAAGTGTAACTCTGGGTTGTATTGTAGGCTTGATGAAAATAAATAGATATGTAGCATTAAACTTAAGCAAAAAAATATTTTTAAGTTCTCTGCATTTGCAATTTTTATATAATTAAATCTTAAAACTTGAAATTTAAAAAAAAATTCAAGCTGACAAGTTGTTTTAATCAATTTTAACGTCCTTTTAACTCAAAATTGACAGGAACAAAAATACGATTTGTATCCATGTAAACAATAATGATTGAAGGATATTCGCCACCTCGGTCATATCCATTGTGGTAAAATAAATCTTTTTCAATAATACAATTAAGAAAGAAGAAAAAGAAATTAAAGAAAAAAAATCTCAACTAGTTAGCTTCAATCTATTCATGTTCTGAACAGTATAGAAACGTAATTTTATTTTGCTGTAGCCAGCAGATTAAGGTGATTAGCTAAAGCTAGTACATCCAATGCAACAGGGATAAGCACTAATCAAGTTGACGCTGCATGACTAATCAATACACATCCAATCGATCACGACACAATAAATCATGATATAGTCAGCCAGGGTACAGTCAATGAGGTGATAGTAAACCAGGGCTCATTCGGTCGTTCAGGGCAGAGTGAATCGGGGCTCAGTGAGTCTAGACACAATTGATTAGAGCTCATTGAGTCTGGACACAATTGATTAGGGCTCAGTGAGTCTAGACACAATTGATTAGAGCTCAGTGAGTCTAGACACAATTGATTAGAGCTCAGTGAGTCTAGACACAATTGATTAAAGCTCGGTGAGTCTAGACACAATTGATTAGAGCTCATTGAGTCTGGACACAATTGATTAGAGCTCAGTGAGTCTAGACACAATTGATTAGAGCTCAGTGAGTCTAGACACAATTGATTAGAGCTCAGTGAGTCTAGACACAATTGATTAGAGCTCAGTGAGTCTAGACACAATTGATTAGAGCTCAGTGAGTCTAGACACAATTGATTAGAGCTCAGTGAGTCTAGACACAATTGATTAGGGCTCAGTGAGTCTAGACACAATTGATCAGGGCACATTTAACCAACGGACAGTAAATCAGATCAAATTTAATTAGGACATAGTGAATGAAAAGATTCACATTACATCAAGAGACGACGAATCATATCAACATGTTACCGGGCACAGTGACCTTATCTGTAATGTAGATATTTTAAATAACGTGGATGCCGCATGTTAACAGAATATATCACACTAGTACACGTCATTTTTATACTAACTTGAAATGGATAACATTGCAGTTTTTTTTTAATTATAAATACATGTCTACACGCATACATATACGCGTTATATTTAACAAGGCATTGAAATAATATGCACAGTCCCTTGTGTTATTTATTCGTAAATTTATTACCCGCATGTATTATCGATTTCTATTGGACAATTTCAGTCTGGGAGATTATTCATCTATTGATAAATCCCTTAACGCGTCACTACGGTCGCTATACAGATGATGCAGTGGCGTCGCTACTTTTCTCTCAGTTTTTACTTTATAAATATTGATATTAAAACATAATGAAATTCGGAAACATATATAAAATATTTTTTAATGGTTTGTTTCGTTCTAAGTTAGAATAGATAAAATGTTCACGTGATATAAAATGCAACAGTCTAATCTCAAACTTAATCTTTCATGAACCATCTTTACGTTTGTAATAGTTTTAACAAAATAAAGGTCTAACCACTTAAAGATTGTTTCAAAGTAAAACAGCAGTTTAGACATTTTTATTATTTCTAAGATGATGAAATTTTGAGAAACTATTAAAATTGTGGGCCCTGGGCACATGCCATGTTAGCCCACCTCTTATGCTCCACTGGCTTTACGTTATTCCGTATCGAATTACGTATTAATTATAATTATAATGTGAGAAAAAAGTTACAGTAAATCAATGGAGACCTGACCACCGTTATCACACGAGGATAAAACAGACCACATAAAGTTTTACAGTGTTTTCTAGAACTACAATTCACATATCCAGGTAAGTGTTGTATAAAGTGTTTTAAATTTAAAACATAATGTAACGATCGTGTTTCCTTTTCACGAAGTTACACACTACAGCTAATTTATTAAATAAACTTGGGGAAAAAAGCGACTAATTAAAAATTCACAACCCATAAAACAAATGTTTTATTTCATAATAAATCACATGACGTCTTTCTAGATCTACGTTTATCTACACGTCTTTGTTGTCCATTATTTGGATGCAAGACACTACTCCACAGTGTTTTTCCAGACTTTTTTCTCCGGGTGGAGAGAGCACTTGAAATTTTCGGGGGGGGGGGGGGGGGGGGGGCGGACTAAAATCTCCGTGGGGGGGGGGGGGGTGGACACTGTTTAAAGTTTATATTTTCTATATGAATTCCATTTCGTTCCGGGGGCGGGGGGAAGGCTCTGTAAACCCCCTCCCCCTCCCCCGAAGAGATGCCTGGAAGAAATTCTGCTACTCTAATCTTTTATTATGTGATATTGTAAGGAAGAATCTTGCCCACCCAAGGATATGACCGTATCTGGCAAAAATACAGACATTTTCTCAACTTCAACCAATCCCACTTTATATAATAGAGGTTTTTAAAATTATTACAGTGATGCAATTTAAGTTGGTTCAGTTTGTATATTATTATCTGCTTGGTTAGTATAATTTGTAATATAATTCTGTAGTTTACTCAGAAGCATATTGTTTTTGAAGATGTGTACAATTATCTAAATTATTTAATAGTATTAAAAGTATTGAATATATTGTATGAAAAATATAAATAATAATAAAAAATCGTTAAATGTTAACATTTTTTATTTACTATAATTTTCGAAAAATAATGCTGAAATAAATATTAGCCTCGGACTGTGTGGTCGAATGGAAGAGCGTTTAGCTGTCACCCCGAAGGTCTCGAGTTCGAATCTCGCTTTGGAAGTGCGACTGTAGAACTTCCCTGAGCTGTAGAGCTCTAGACTGATAATCCGAAAGTCTCGAATTCGAATGCGGATTCAAGTCAGTAGAATGTCCCTGCGTTCTCCCTTCACTGATGGGTTCCTAACATGTTAGGGAAAGCAAAGGCGGCTGGCCATAGTGCCAATGTCACAGAGACAGGCGAACGATACTTCACTTGCCCCATGGACATTTCAAGTGCGAAAAGGAACAATACTTTACTAAATGTTCGCTGGGGTGCTGCATTTTCGATTTATTAGTAGGCATTTATATATATATATATATATATATATATATATATATATATATATATATATATATATATATATATATATATATATATATATATATATATATATATATTTATATATATATATATATATATATATATATATATATATATATATATATATATATATATATATATAGGTCACTGTATTTTTTCAGCCTTTATTCACTTCTCTCTATGACATCGCTCGGCGCCAAAGGGAAAACGGCACAGGAGATGGAAAAGACGCTCGAAGACACGTCTATTGACGCGTTAGTTCAAGATTTGTACGAAGATTTAATCAAAGAGGTTTGGTTTATATACTTAATTAATAATGTCATCTCGTAACAAAATTAATAACGCTGAAGCAATCTCTCCTGAACTTTCTCGTATATTAATTATTTTTTTTAAAAAATAGAATAGAATTGCGTAGAAAAAAGAATTGCGGTTTAAATCAACATAAACACTGTATGTATCATAGAGCGGAAAATTATTTCTTTATAAAGAAAAAATTGATTAATTTTTGTTAATTAAACATCAAGATTCGGTAAAATTTTATGTCCAAATGAATTTTCATCCAGTCTATGTGTAAAGTTTTGAAGAAACTGGTCCAGTACAAGTGATCTCATTTCGGAAATCGGAAATAGTGTGAAGTAATACTTTCGTTTGCCGGGAATCAATCGAAGTATGCGAGAATTAAAAAAGTAGTATCTTATACCTGTGTTTAAAATTTCATTCACCAAACTAAAACGGTACTCAAATATCAGTTTTCTAGAAACCAGAAATAAAGTACCACTTCCGGTTATTTGAGGTCACTCAAAAATTCAAAGTAATTAAAATATAGAAGAAGCTATACTTGTGTGTGAGATTTCGTCTACCTAGCTGAAACGGTACTTAAGTTATAGTGTTCAGGAAATAAAGTACTTTTGGTTTCCGAAAATTGTTCAAATTCTAAAGAAATATGCGCGTATAATACTTATATGGAGTATTTCGTTCACCTATCTTAAACAGTACTTAAGTTATTGGCTTTCGAGAAACCGGAAGTGTAGTATATATATATATATATATATATATATATATATATATATATATATATATATATATATATATATATATATATATGTGTGTCTGTGTGAGTGTGTCTGTGTGTGTCTACCGCCCCCCCCCGAAAATCTTAAGTGCCCCCCCCCCCCCCCGGAGAAAAAAGTCTGGAAGAAACACTGTGTGTGTTTGTGTGTGTGTGTGTGTATGTGTGTGTGTGTGTGAAATTTTGTCAACATAACTGAAACGGTACTCAAGTTATTGTGTTCACAGACACACCGACATATGGACAAAATTGCAAAACTAATTTTTTCCGACTCAGAGATGTGTAAAACGTCCAGATCTGTTAAAATCTCGATTTCGATTTTTCACACAATTACAATATTTTCTCTCTACTATGTGTACGAAAATGTAAAAAAGCTTACACTTTAAAAACATTACTTAATATTAGACTATAAGAATGTATTCTTGTTTTTATTGCTTTCTACACCGAAATGTATTGATCATGAAATAATTTAAATTAATCCTACTACTTCAGGAAACCTTTGAAAAACATTTTCTTTTTCGTTTTCTAGTTGAATTCAGTCAAAGAAGTTGTCATTAGCACAGTTAACGGCATCTTCATCAACCCTGCCGTAGATATTAAGCTACAATTTACAAAACAAGTTGAAATGAAATACGGGGCGATAACCAAGAATTTTGACTTATCCGTCCCTGAAGGACCCGAGAAATCAATCAATGACTATATTGCTGAAGCCACGAAAAACAATATTAAAAACGTTCTTTCAAAAGGTTGTTTTTTAAACTACTTTATAGTGTGAAATTACGTTTGTGAAGGCCTAATAAAAACAAATTAGTTTAGGTCACCGTGTACTTCATTTAAATATTAACAAGAATTGCATGAATACAGTGGTATTCTCGAGATACGAATTTAATTCGCTCTGCAAACTTAGCTAGTATGTCGACTATTAATTCTTTCTAAACTGTAATGTTAGGAGGGATTTCTTATAACGCAATTAAGTATTACTTCTTATGCGCTTTATAAGCCGTTGACTACGATTTTAACCTGCTTTTAGTTTTTTATTTGCTTCCATAGTCTTTGTCCAACCAAGAACAATGCAGCTATCGAGCTTTACTTGTCCGGGGGGGGGGGGGGGGGGGGGGGTTGGGTTCAAAATCTGGACTTTTCGGTTTAGAAGCCATTAGCGTTACCGACTCAACCACGCCGAACCCGCTCGAATATTAATTTGCTCGTGTCTCATAGTAATTTTCTTCAATGAAATTAATTGAAATGCTAATAGTCCGTTGATGACTGTACAATGCAACCTCAGCTGTTTTTGTTACATTTTTGTGAATGAGAAAAATAAAGTCATAAACAAGAGAATGTAAAGAACTAAACTAATTTTTAACGTGTAGTTACCTTGTAAATCGGCTGACTTGTGCTTGCAAAGTATGTAAAGTAGTAGAGATAGGGGGGTAGCGCTTCACTTCGTTGTTTTTTTTTTTCCTCTTTAAATTACTATAAGTGCTACATTTTATCTCTGAATTTAATGGAACTTCACGGAACACACTTGAACTTTCATACTACCGTACAATTTGTGATGTTACTTTCACTTAATTTGTGTCACGCTTTACTCACTTTCACACGTAGGCCGTTCAGAACAAAACCTGCTTGTGATGTTTGTTTCTTCCTGCCTTTCCGAATGTTGTGGAAATTAGACAATTAGTGTCTTTACATAGCTCTGTTTTAAGACTATTTGCAGCTTCATCGAGATATTTATTTTCCACGAAATTTTAAAACTGCTAGTAAGATTCCTCGTATCTCTAATTTCGCTCGTATTTCACAGCTAAAAATTGCTCACTCGACGGTTGTAATTAAAATATTTCGTATTTTGAGGAACTACAGTACTTGAGATAAACAGATCACTAATACAACAGCATTGACACTGTTACAGGATCTATCACAGCGAACACTGCTATGGTTTTAGTCAACACAATTTTCTTTAACGGAACCTGGGAGACGGGGTTCGAAAAAACACCGAAACAAAATTTTTATAAACAGCAGGGGAAGGCAAAAGAGGTAACATTTACTTGGTTTTTGTAGTTAATAGCATACGTTGATACATGTCTCAATTATATATATATATATATATATATATATATATATATATATATATATATATATATATATATATATATATATATATTACTCCATGTGGGAGAAAGGGGGGTTATGACGATGTGTGACGAATAGGAGGATAAAGATGTTCAGAAAGTATAGGGACACTTGAATTTTTTTTTTTAAGAATTAAAAGTATCTGAATTTGCGTCGTTATTTCTCGGTTTTTTAAAAAGCTTTTTTTTCGAATTGTAAACTTCAGTTTTGAGAGGGATTGTGGGCTGTGATGTAACGTCATTTTAGAGGAGGGGGTGGGTTCTGACATTGTTTGACCATGTGTGACAACGGAGAGGAATAGGGTATAGTTAAAAAACCACCCAAAAACTGCATCATTTATTGATGAGAGTGAAAAAATAAGAGCCTGACACAACTTACTGATATACAACGATATATAACTAACAAACCAGTGTATTTAACATCAGATGATATGTTTTCTGTAGGATAAAAGTTTTTTTTTTAATTTATTTTGTAAGACCAAGATGCTAGAAATGATGACTAAAAACATGTACCTTCAATACAAGAGGGATAAAACAAACCAAGTCGACGTGGCCGAACTACCATTCGATGGAGGAAGGTTTGCTTTGTACATAGCCCTGCCACATAAAGTGGACGGTATCGCAAGTCTAGGTGTGTTTACAAAATAAAAAAAAAATACATAGGAATATATATATATATATATATATATATATATATATATATATATATATATATATATATCTATATATATAATTCTTTTCTTCGAGCCGTTAGAAAACAAGCTGCAAACGCTCTCCCTACCTCCCCACCCCTACATGGTTTTAGTGAGCTGTGTTCACTCTAAATGTTTACAAGCAGAGCCAACGATTTTAAACGTTGGGGGGGGGGGGGGGGGGGAGGGGGGATGGAAGGGGGGGAGGGGGTTATGGTCCTTAACGAGCTACTTATAGTGTTTTAAAGAAATATTTTCAGTGGCAGCGTTGGTACTGCCGAATTCACAAATTATGAATTATTGAAAATTAGAAACAACTAAATAGCGCCGTATGTTATGCCGCGGGCCGGCTCGTATATATATATATATATATATATATATATATATATATATATATATATATATATATATATATATATATATATTTATATATATATATATTCGAGATAATACGATAAGGTTGCTTATTGTATTTTGCTTTATAATGATCTGTTTAAATCGAACACGTTACCTCCCTTCTGATTTGTAAATGTGTATGTCTCCTCAAGTATATGTGTGTGCATTTACTAGGTCTATTCGTGAAGAAATGCGAAATGTATAAAAGAAACACAATGGTGTTGGTTATGCTATTCAAACATCTTTTCTTGCGCAACCACCTTAATCAAATATATTGTCTTGAGCCACCTCCTTCATCATCTTACTCCTTCGGCGCTCAAGACAAGTGTGGCAGGCGAAGTAGAGTTCATCTGTTTCAATGATCTCGGAATATAAATGCACTGTATAGCTAGTACAGTGCTTAGCTGCAGAGTACTGAGACGTCTGTAACTCGGGATTCGAACACAAGATATTTGGGTTAGCAATCGTGTTCCCTACCATCCTACCACACCCGTCCCACAACCGTCTTAGACTCAATAAAATGTTTATATTATTTTATTTTATTTTCTTGTGCAACTTTATATTCAACTACGCCCCTAATTCCAGTCAGAGTTTCTTTCAGGCATAACTTGGGGAGGGGGACAGGACCCTGACCCCCCCCCCCCGAAGAAAGTCTACCGAAGTAAGTCTATATAGAAAATATGCGTCCCCCCCCCCCCCCCCCCCCAAAAAAAAAAATTCAAGTGCCCCCCCCCCCCCCCCCCCGGAGAAAAAAGTCTGGAAGAAACACAGATTCCAGCCTGTAGTCTTACAATATACTGAATATATACACCACTTCTACTTTATTAGTACAAAAAATAGCACGGCAAAACAAATCTAAATTTAAGACACGGTCTGTTCCGACATTTTGTACAACCGCATAGATTACAAACACTAAATCGATTCTTTAATAAATAACCATCAAATTATCATCCATGTTGGCCTGGAATTAAATCAGCTGGTGTGGGAAAAAATTGGAACACCATAATTACCTGTGTATAATAAAGACAAGGATAGTATGCATTACAATTTAAATTGAAGACAGCATATAAAATGAGATATGCTTTCATCTGTTTAAAACAGGAATGTAATAAGAATTTAGGTATCCCAAATGTTAATGTTCTTTGTACGGTATATTTCAAATGCCGTATACTAATCCCTTTCAATACAAAGTTACGCAATATTTCCGTTTTGTTCTAAATAATTTAAATTTTGAAATTGATATCATAGAATAGATGGTTATTGACATATTTTTTGAAAAAATTAAAATAAATCGATTTTTTTTTTAATTGGGGTCGGCGTGGTCGAGTCGGTAAAGCTCATGGCTGCTACAAAGGCTATGGAAGCAAACCCGGAACGAAAAGCAGGCTAAAATTGGATTCAACTTCCTAAATGGCGCATAACAAGTTGACACGTATACTTAGATTGTGTTGTAGGGAATTCCTTCCAACACTAAAATTCAATTTTATAATCTGCTAACGATTAAAACACATTTTTTCCTTGGTCAAAATCTGTATTAAAAAGTTTAGCATTGCACTCTATTTTCTGTAGATTCTAGTTTTTGGGAGTATGCCCCTCCCCCCCCGTAAGAAAAAGTAGGCGAAATTGGATTTAGTGGCAAATCGATGTATAAAAAAGAATAAACTGCCCTTTGGAGGAGGTTTGTAGGCTGAGGTGTGACGTCATTTTATGGGGGGGGGGGTCTAGCTTTTTCTGACGATGTGTGACGATGGGGAGGGATGGGGTGTAAACATTGTCAAAAAAGCGTGACGTCATATTTTATGGATGATCCTTCAGTCAGTAGCTTTTTTTAAAATTAATTATTAAGCAACAATAATTTATCCATTTATTTTGAATTAATTATTTATCACTGAACATGGTGTTCGAACTTGGGCACTTAAACTTTAACGCGCGCAAACATGCGCATAAGCTTAAGTCCGCACGACAAATTTTTAAAATGTTCTACACTTATTAACGGACGGCGAGGCCTAGGCGGTAGAGAGCTAGGCTGCTAACCCGAAAGTCGCGATTTCGAATCCGGGTTAAAGTTAACAGAACCTCCCAGAGTCCATACGGCTTTGATGGGTACATGACTCAAAGTTAGTGAAAGTAAAGGCGGCTGGGTGCTGACCACATTATCCCTTCATATGCCGAGGTTATAGAAACATATGAACTCTATCTGTCCAGTGGGATCCGGACCAAAGGCCGAGATGTACAAAAGGCCGACATGGACAAAAGGCCGACATGGACAAAAGGCCGACATGGACAAAAGGCCGAGATTTACAAAAGGCCGACATGGACAAAAAGCCGACATGGACAAAAGGCCGACATGGACAAAAGGCCGACATGGACAAAAGGCCGACATGGACAAAAGGCCGAGATGGACAAAAGGCCGACATGGACAAAAGGCCGACATGGACAAAAGGCCGACATGGACAAAAGGCCGACAAGACAAAAGGCCTTTTGATTTCGGCCTTTTGTCCTACACCCCTACCCAATGGATCGCTAGGTCTAAAGAGGAATCTCTACTTTACTACACTTAATAAAAATGAAACTACCTTCAATTGTTTTTATCCAGAAAAGCTGTTATCAAATCCGGTTCAAATGATTCAGCTGTTCTCTGACATCAGATCAAAATACGTCCGAGTCAAGATTCCCATATTCACGACAGAGACGACACTTGACTTGAAGCAACCTCTCATTGATCTCGGCATGGTCGAGGCGTTTGGTCCTGGAGCTGATTTTTCTGGAATCGCCACCTCAGGTGACAAAAGAATAATTTTTTAAAAACATTTTTTTTATTTTATCTCAACTTTACGTATGGAAATGCTATTTTGAATTAGACTTTTACAAAATAATATTTTTTAAACAAATTTTATTGGAACAGAACTATGGGCTGAATAAGATTTAACAATCGTATTATTTTTACATTACTAACCCATAACCTAACCCTAATCCAACCCGAACCCCAACCCTACAGGCGGATAAGAAGTGCTTTCTATGGCATGCCTTTAAATATTCAAATGTCTCGACATCAGAAATAGGTCACAAGCGGTGGGGCTAAACTTTTCACCCGTGCACTGCATGCAGGGGCATATCTGGGCAGTGTTTCTTCCAGACTTTTTTCTCCGAGGGGGGGGGGGGGCACTTGAAATTTTCGGGGTTGGGGGGCGGTAGACTTTCTTCGGGGGGGGGGGGGCGGATACTGTTAAAAGTATATATTTTCTATATAAATTATATAATTTTCATTTCGTTCGGGGGGGGGGGGGGGGGGGTGCGGTAAAAATTTTTCCGGGGGGCTTCGTTCCCCCCCGAAGAGATGCCTGGAAGAAACTCTGTATTTGGGGCATATATATATATATATATATATATATATATATATTATATATATATATATATATATATAATAAAGAGATAGAGGGAGAGACTGTAACTACAGAACCAATTGATATTTTGACAGCCGTATGGGATGATAGTTTTATCACATTCAGTGATTCTTCCAGACTTTTGGGTGGGGAGGGGGTATTTGATTTTTTTTGGGAGGGGGGGGACACACTGATAAAACTATATAGGGGAGGGGGCCGGTGGAAGTGCTCCGGTGGCACTTACCCCCACCCTCTTTCCCCATACGCCCTTAGAGATGCCTGAAAGAAACTCAGCTCACCGCCGTGTCGATCTGTCTTTTACTCCACAGGAAACATCTGCATCAGCCAAGTCATTCACAAGGTCAGATTTGAAGTCACAGAAACCGGCAAGGTCGGGGCACCAACTTCTCCGAGTTCCGTTACGCCGGAAGCGGACTTTCTAGTGGATCATCCGTTTCTGTATTTTCTCAAGGATAAAAAATCCGGACAATTTTTGTTCCAAGGAAAATATTCCGGTTAGCTAGATCTAGATCTAAATAAAATGTACGCTAAAAAGCGTGGGTTTTTTTTTTTTGTTTTTTTTTTTTTGTGTTTTTAAATTGAAGCGAGTTTTCATAACATTAAAAAAAATTTCCGATTAAAAATGTGTTGTTTATTTTTTTAAATAATTTTTTAAATTGAAGAGTTTTCGTAAACTAATTAGATTTGTATTATATTTTAAAAGGGTGATTGGAAAGTTGTGAAGTAAAGGTGTCGCGCATGGGTTATAAATTTATCGCACAAAAATCAAACGAATACAACTAAAGGGATGATTTTTTGTGAAAATCTAGGGGGTGGGGGGGGGGGGGGGGGGTCGTCCATAACTCGTAGGGGGAGGGGGATCCGAAATTTTGCGACGCGTGTGTGATGAGGGTGAGGTGGGGAGGGGGAGTGTTCAGATGGTATGACGTCACACTTTTGCATTATAAAAAAGCAATGTTAGAAAAACTATTTTCAGCCGTTATTTCGTGTTTTAGAAAACTATATTAATAATATTGTAATAGAAATTGATTAAAATAATATATATTGACTCCATGTTTTAAGAAAACTGCAATTTTTTTTTGGGAGGGGGGGGGGGGTAGGCTGAGGTGTGAAGTCAATTAGGGGTGTCTGGCTTTTTGTGACGATATGTGACGGATTAAGGAGGATATATGTGACGGATTAAGGAGGATAGTACAAATCGTTAAAAAGGCGTGACGTCATTTATGGATAACCCAAAAAATTGAAATAGTATCGCAAACAGATTTATTTTCCGATCCTCCAACTAGACAGATAAACAGATACACCCGTTCGTTTTCAGCTAACATGAACAAACTCAGGTCTTTTAAAAAAGTTAAGCTGGTGATGTCATATGTTAAAGAATGTCAGGGTGTCATCCCACCCTCTTCTGAAACGACTATCTATATTTAATGTATGAAACAATTTTGTATGGTATCACTCTGGCGCCCCGGCAGGGTGTGATTTGGCGCCCCGGGCTCCCCCGTGAGATACTAGTGGGTCTAGTTTTA